GCAGACATACACCCCTGGGCACAACCAGGATCATGCACAATTCCCTGGAGACTGCTTTTAACCCCAGGCCTTCTCCAGAATAGGAAAGCAAGGTAGATGTTTAGAGAAGAGAGAGTATAGGGGAAGAGTTGAATTGACCCTAAGGTATGGTTTCAATTTAGAAATAATAATAATTTATAGATATTGGTGCTTTATTAAAATAAAAATGAATTGAAACATTTCATAGAGCTGTTAAAAAAACCTGGCTTGGATACTATGTTGCTTGGATCAACCGGTGCCAGGGTCACAGAAGTCAGTTGTAACTGGCCCAACAGGCTGCCTACCTAGGGCCTGGTGCCATTGTGCTGCCTTTTCCTGATAAAGAATGGACCAGTTCCCATGACTGCATAGGATGATGACTAGTGTGAACTTGGGCCAGCCTGGTAGAATTCACATCCTCATGTCACAGGTTTTTCCCCTGCATTGGAGATATTCACAAATACTCCATCTCTCTTCCTCCTGATGGAGATGGTAGATTGCACAACCTGGGTACCATAAASTTGAGCATGACTCTCTCAGATCTCCTGAATAGAACATGTGTTCAATAAGCTCCCAGGAGATTCCTATGCACATTAGAGTTTATGAAGCCCTGTTCCTAAGACACAGAGCATCATTCATCCATGTTCTCTTTTCTAGCCAGTGAGCAGAGTTTCCACATAGCATTTCCTTTAGTCTAGGCCCCTTGACCTGTCCAGAAAGGAACAAGAAGTGAAACTTGAGAGAAATAATCTTTTCTTCCAAGTCACTAAGACTTGAGGTTGTTATATTGGTATAACATAATTCATTCTGATTGACTCACTTAGCACTCTGTGACCTTGGACAAGTTACTCAGTCTCCCTGTGCCTCAGTTTCCTGGATATAAAATGAAGATAACAGTTCTTACTCATAGGGATGTTAAAAGGACTAACTCATTTTCATTTTCCCAGATGTGGAACACCTATTGTTATGGTCTAGATATGAGGGAAACCTCAAAAGCTCATGTGTGAGACAATACAAGAGGGTTTAGAAGTGAAATGATTGGGTTATGAGAGCCTTAACCTAATCAGTGAATTAATCACTTGATAGGGATTAACTGGGTGGTAATTGTAGGCAGGTAGGRTGTGAATGGAGCAACTGAGTAGATGAGGGTGTGCCCTTGGGGTTTATATTTGTCKGTGATGAGGGGAGCTCCTCTACTTCCTGGTAATGTCCTGAGCTGCTTTGTTCCAACACACCCTTTCACCATGATGTTTTGCATCACCTCAGGCTTGGAGGAATGGAGTCGGCCATCTAGGGGCAAAGACGACTTMAATAAACTTTTCCTCCTCTMATTGCTCTTGCCAGGTCTTTTGGTCATATCTGGAAAACAGCCAAATAAAACACCTATAAAAACTTAAATATAGTACATAATATATAATTATCTGAGAACATGCATAAAATCATAATATTAATATGATACATACAAGCTCTAAATTAGGATTTCCAACCTATTTTAATGTACTTTGGTCGACTTTGTTGAAATATTCCCAGAATTAAAAACCTGGGACTTAATGAATTAGGGAGGTACATATGAACAGGGCTTGGCACACATTAGGTACTAGTGCTAGGTAAACATTACCTTCTATCACTGACACACTCGCTCCCCACAGCTCAAATCCTACCTTGTGATGTCTAGTTCCTGTCTCCTAGGCTCAGTGACCAGAGTGTCCGTGCTTCTTCCTACCACTCTCACTGCATATGTGACCTCTTATCCTCTCACTGACCTTTCTAAATCCCAAAACTCCCTACCCCTAGCATCTAGACATTGCATTTGGCTATCATACATCTGAAGGCTTTGTCCTGAATTCAGTGCTAGGGGAGAAATTAAAGACCTAATAAGTTTTCTGTTCTTTTCTTCTTATTGTCTTTCCCGCAAATCAATTGTGTGTGTTCTAGCATCAGAGCATGAGCAAACCCATTGCAGAGAAAATTSGGGAAAGTAGTAATGAGGATGGTATGGAGATGGTTTCTGTTTATGTTCCGGGTTTTTTAAGGCGTCCAATAGATTTCTGACATTATAGTAACTGTTCTTACAGAGGATAAATATTTGACAACATTTTAAATATGATCATAAATAAATGCATCATATATCATAAATCCAAATAAAATGGCAAATTACCTTTTTCCCTTGCCTCTCTTAAAATGTACATAAATAAAAATATCCCAAGCCACAATATTTTAGTGTCTTAAATCTTTCATCTACATTTATAAACCAAAAAATTTTTTTAAAAAAATCACAATGCCAAAGCAAAGCTGAACATTATTCTCTTCCAAAGTCACAGAGTTTGAATGAGGACCTCAGAGAGCCACATTCATCCCTATACCTACTTTAGGCCAGTGGGCAGTGAATATTCTTAAAGAACAGACACTAAATAGGCTGTTTGAGCCACATGGTTGTCACCACCTTCACTCTGTCATTGTGGCACTAAAGCAACTATGGACAATATGGAAAAAAAGGGCTGGCTGTGATCCAATGATATGAACACTGAAATTTTATTTTCATGTAAGATTCTTGGGTCAATAAGTATTATTTTAACACCCCCCCACCACCATTTAGAAAAGTAAAAATATGTTTTAACTCACGAGTGGTATGAAAACAGATATGGGGCTGAATTTGGCCCATCAGCCACACTTTGTGGATTCTTGTTCTAGATTCTCAGGTTCATGTTCAACGTATGGAAGGAAAAAATATTCTGACACTTGTGAAAATGGAAAGGAAGATTTTATTCAGGATTATAGTGGTTGGTGTCAAGAACAGCACAATAGAGGAGAAAGACTGGGCTCAACCCTAAATACAGAAGTGGAGACTGATAACCAACAAGGGGATGAGGGGATCAGTGGGTGGAAAGGGGCGACATTAAGGGTAGGAGAGTTCTTGCCAAACCAATTTAGGATTCTTGCTGAAGGCAAGCCAAGGACTTTCCCATCAGGCAGGGGATGAGAAATAGAATATGATATTGAGGGTTAGAGATTCTCTCTGACTTAGCAGGATTCCTGCTAATGATGGACTAGACTATGCAGGCCCAGTGAGGGGCAGCTGGCCATGGCTGAAGGTTGAGGGCATAGAGCTTGACTCAAGTTTGGTCAAGAGGACAGCCTTTGTCAAACAGCAACCTAGAGCCTTCTTGCGAGTCATGGAGACACAGGGTTAGCCAGGTAAAAATCCACTTAAAAAGCAGGTAAGAAACAATCCCACGAGCCTGCTTTTATTAACTCAACTTGGAAAAACGTAAGACCCTACAGTTGTCAAACTCTCACCACAATTTATGCCAATCTCACCCATAAAAATAACGTGGCCCATCACTCCTCACCACACACAATTAGCAATTTATGAAGTAAGGAAATAGCTGGCAGTTGTCTTCATCGATGAAGTCAACACAGTCTCCTTCCTTTGCCAAAAGGCAGGGAAACCAATTCCTGAAGCCTCTTTTCCCTGGGGCTACTCGAGGCCAGTTGATGCAGAACGCCTKGGAAGGACACGCGTTGGCTTCCCTGGAGATTTTTAACAGGGAACCTACACTAAAAAATAACAATAAAGTGATTTTTTTAAAAAGTCCCGACTTTTGCTGTTTTTACTGACACTCAAGTAGCAGGGCTTCAAGCATTTTAAGCCTAGATGAGATGTCTCTATGGAAACCCAAGAAGACTCACATTTTGTGGCCAAATGACTACCTACCTAGGATTCTATATCCTACTGGATCACTCTCTGCCATCTCCAATGTCAGAAATATCTTAGAATTTTTGGAATTCTATCAGTCATATGAAATTTACTTTTGCTGAGGAGGAAGATGGAAAGGACTAACATCTGAGGCTTCCTTCTAACTTTCATTAAGACAGTGCTATTGGGGCTGGGATTGTGGCTCAGTGGTAGYGCACTCGTCTGGCATGTGTGAGGCACTGGGTTCCATCCTCAGCACCATGTAAAAAAAATTTTTTTTAAAAGACGGTGCAATTTAAAATATTCTTACTAGAAAAAGAACTTTGTGTATTCTGGGCAGGCATAGTGTCAGAGGGAAAATGCAGTCTACTAATTCAATAGCTGCTTTAAATTTTATATCATTAATTTTCCTTCCTTTCTTTCTATCAGTGTCCAATGAACTTTCTCCTAAAAATGTAAAAGTCCTCTCCCAAAGATAGTTTATTCATTGCAATGGAGGGGGAAAACCAATTATATAGTGAATAACTCAGATATCTTGACCAGGTGGCCAAAGTTAACATTACCAGTGGAGTCAATGGCCTTTTGTGCCTCTAGATGTGATACTCTAAGGGGAATATCATGTCCCCTCAGWGCATGGTCTGAATCTAATCCTGAGAGAACACCAATAAATTTGAAAAAAGGACCAGTCTATTTAGAAGATGACAAAGAAGCAGCAGCAGAAGTAAAGGTAGTGGAGGGGCAGAACGACCATGCTATTAAAAACTGCCACTGGGGCTGGGGTGGGGCTCAATGGTGGAGTGGTAGAGCATGGAGCAGACCTTGGGTTCCACAAGGAAACTAAATATAACATCTGACCCTAGAAGGGATCTGGTATTGTGGGGAGAGTAGAGGAAATTTGCAAAAGGGAGTAATTGAACCAAATGGCAAAATGGGAATACCAATGATAAAGTACATCAATTTTTATTTTATTTTTTATTTTTATTTAATTTTTTTTAGTTATTAATGGACCTTTTTTATTTATTTATATGTGGTGCTGAGAATTGAACCCAGTGCCTCATGCATGTCAGGCAAGCACTCCACCACTGAGCCACAACCCCAGCCCTAAAGTACATCAATGTAAAATTTCCTGAAATCATTAACTGTACAGTGGTAACATAAGAAATATCTTTTGCCTATCAAATACTGAAGAAATTCAGAGCAAAGGGCCATGATGCATGATATATACAATTTTCCAAGTACAGTTAAAAGAAAAATTAATAGTGCTTGGGATTTTTGGCTATCTAATTTCTCTCCATTATATTCCAAATACAAYACAGGAAGAAGCGCTTGTGCCAAGTAACAAGAAAGCACAAAGATATTTTAACATGATCTTTTATCAGTGATTGAAGCCTGCCAAAACACTACATACCACCCATCTTCAGCAGAGTTTGTTGCAAAAACCAGCAAACATTGGATACTCTAGTGGCTTAGATCTAATAATTTCCCCTCAATTTCTCTAAACAGGAAAGTGACTTTAAAACCTTTTTGTAACCCACTTCTTCCAGAACCATYCATACGCAAAGCAAGTTTCTTAGCTGTTCTCTTAGGTAGGCACTGTCAGTATCAATGAATTGAAAGCAAACTTTTGAGCTGAGACATATTCATATTTTAAGCAATGGCTAAAGTCMCTGGAGAACATGGTACTCAGGAACTGGGGTCACTAAATGAATACTGCTGTCTGAATTCTGCAGCTGCAATGTCTGTGGCACCCACAGTGGTCTTACATCAGCACTGGGAATGCTGGCCTCCAGGGTACAATGTGCCATCTTAACTGATTTTCTACCAAAGCAATAGACATAACTATGCATGTGTCCGAAACTTCACCACAGACTTAGAGTCAGTCACAGAGAGAGACCTGAAAAGGTGGTAAACTGAAATTAAAGTGTTCATCCATGTTAAAGAATCTGGAAATACTACTTACCCATTCTTCAAAACACAACAAAAACAGAACATATGTATGTATAGTCTCTTTTCTATCTTTCCCTGTTTACTGCTTTGTTTTGATTCTTAGTAATTACTGTCTCTGGAATAATATAACCATATACCATTTTTTGGCTTTGTGTTTYTATCTTAGTCTCCTTATTCATTTTCCCCCAAGTTTCAGCTAATAATTTAATTTAGCAAATGTTTGCTAAGAACCTATTGGCTTAAGGTGCTCAGCCAGRTTTACTGTGTGCTACTCTACAGAGGGAAGACCCTCCAGGTTGTTTGTCCTACAAATAATCTCCAAGAAGATGGTATACAGACAATAAATGAAATGAAGTCTGCTTGCAGAAAAGCCTAAGGAGCCAGAAGTGAATTATGACCAACTGCTAAAAAGAACAAACTAGTCAAGGCACTAAAATTTAATGAGAAGACAATTTTAAAAATAGGTAAAATCAAAGAGAAGGTGCCTATCACATTATTGTAGATTTTAAATCATGCATATTCTTCTCCATAAAACTTCCCAAATGCAGTAAGAACACAGATGCACAAAACCAAGCAATTATAAATCCTCTGAAGCATGTAACTGTGATTAGCTGCTACTCTCAGTGATATAAAAATACTTCCACCACAATTACATTCCAGCCTGTAATGTAATTCAAAACAAACAAGTCAGAGACATCACTCAAAGGCAGAACCAACAAATACAGATGCTTTGCATCAAAGAAATGAATCCACTGAAGAAATGCACTGAGAAGGCACTGCCACCCAGGGCCTGGCACTGGGCTTCTGCTGGAACGGTGAGGCCCCCTTCTGGCTAGAGAAGCACATTGCTCCCAGGGAGGCTCTACAAAGTGGCACTTGGCATCAGTGACCCTTACTGCAGTGGGTGAGGTGATCGCCTGGGGCTTCTGCAGTGGGTACTCTTTCCTGTGTCGAGTTTACAGTTTCAGATTTTAGAATATTAAATTCAAAGTTTATTATATTTAAACAAAAATAACTTTGATTTTAGATTAACTTGATCTTTCCATTTAATTCTGCAACTAGCATTCCTATCACCACTGGTGTGCCCATACCCTTATCTAGCATTACCCCCAATTTTATCACCCTTCAGTAAACCATGTGATTGGCTATATTTATGATCTGTCTCCCTTTGCCACAAGGGCAGAATTCTTTGTTTTGTTCCAGGACCCTGGCACAAAACAGTTGCTCAAAAACAAGGAATTGTCTCATTTCCACTTTTATGTTTTACTTTGAAGACTATTCCTTTTCAAAGAAAGCATAAATAAGGCTTTATTATAGCAATATGCTATAACTTAAAAATGACCTTCAAGGACTTATTTTAAGTATGCATTTTCTCTAAATGCTTTATAAAAGAAAAAAATCTATACTATGGRCTATATAATCATGATCATATCTATACAACTCATATGCAATTTAGAATAAAGCCAGGCCCWAGTCCCTAGGGAGGAATCCAACCCTGAAAGGCCAGGCCTGGAGAACAAGTCCTAGCCTGGCATATGCTAGCTCAGACATAAGCAGGTCACTAGGGCTGGATGCACTTTCCCTGAAAAGCCAGCCCTTTCCTGGACAGGGCATCATGCTGTGGCTGAGGGGCATGCACTGTTTGCTAATTCCTAAAACCTCAAACCTTAATTTTTCCCCCTTCTTAAAATGTTCTCTCAGCTTGTGGAAAAGCTAATAGTTGTTTACAATTGTCAGACTTTTAAAAAGTGCTAATTTGTTCCCTTAACAGAGCAAATGATGAGAGGCACCATTTTCCCACAGAGAAACAACATATAAACATATGATTCATCAATGTCAACAGCTTTCAGGCCAGGAATTTTGTGCAGGTCACTGTGTGGATTAGTCTTTCTCAAAACAAGTTCACGATCTCTGACAATCCTTTTTCCGAACTTTCGATTTGGGGGCTGTAAAAAGAATAGAAAAGAAAATGAAGACTCTCTTCACACTGATTTGCTTTAGGGGAGGGACATTATTTGAAGAGGGGAAAACTGACCATTTGGATTCTCTTGTTTGTAGAAACTCTTCAGCAGTTGTACTGCTTCCTCAGCCCGATACCCAGGAATGCACTGAGGAAATGAGAAAAGTGGAGAAATGAACACCTGCCCATGAGTGTGTGTTGTAGGCCTTAAAAAMAGCAACACATACACAGTTAGGTGAAGAAATTTCAGATAATATTAATGACTTTGGGGATATTACTATGGGTAAAGAAGCACATTTACAAAAGAAAAGACATTTAGCCTCAAACATCACTCTCAAGCAACTATTACTAGAGATATTAGCTGTGTGATCTTGAATAAGGTACTTAAACTCCATGCCTCACATGTACAACATAGGTATCAGCACTTGCTCAGAGAGAAGTCATGAGRATTTAATGAGATAATATCTACTAAATACCTGGTGTATCACAAGTGCTTTTAAAGCATTAACTATTTTTATCTGCTGTTATATTATTATTGGAGGTGGCTCATTAAGTGTTTGATGCTACAGAACTGGAGTTGGCCACCTATACTTGGTGGACTAAATTCAGTTCACAGCCAAGAGTGGTGCGCTAAGAATGGTTTATAAATTTTTAAAGATTTGTTWAAAAAATGCTCTGCAACAGAGATACTGTGGCTCATAAAGGCTAAAATATATACTATCTGCCCTTTATATAAAAMGTTTGTCAGTTTTTGTTATAGAGGATTTTTAAAAAGTGTTTGTTCTATCTTTGGGACCTAACTGGAGAGGGGAAATCAAAACACGTGAAAGAATAAATAAGAAGTTGTGATACTAGTAGGGAGTGATATTATAGGTAATATTATATGGAGAAGGTGAAAAACTTGAAGGATATTTAAAGAAGTGGACATATCCTCGGGCTGACAACTAGGCCTGCACAACACATAGTCAAGCAGCATTCAGGGTAGCAGGCCACAGGCAGCCAGGCATGGGCCCCCAGGTGGCCAGGGCCCAGGCTCTGGGGGCCACAGGGATATGTCAGGGTCCCACAACTACTCCCAAGCAGGAGGGAGCTGTTCCCAACCCAGAGGCTGGCTTTGCCAAGATTTGTCAGGAGACAGAAAAAGAGAGAGAGAGAGAGAGAGAGAGAGAGAGAGAGAGAAACAGACACTGAGATGGCCATTAGCCAGTGGTACAGAGCATCCCTAATGACACTCCTGTCTGTAGCTAGGGCACACATTCCGAAGAGAAAGGCCTTGCTGTGATTGAGGAAGAGTCTGATGGGAACTGAACACCTGGAAGCCATCAGAAGGAAGACTCTGTCCACCCAAGGACCAGACTGCTGATATTCTCAATGAGAACTGCGACTTGGGGTTGAAAGCAGATCAAGGGAATTCCTATTATGCTGATGACACCATGGAAAGCATTTCTTAAGACATTAAACCTTGGGTGTACTGTGCCCCACAAGCACATCCCCAGCACAACCCTAGTTGGCACCATCCACCTCCACTGACACCCCATTATTTCTAGATGKTCTTTAAAACATGACAGTTTAATGATGCCAAAGACTGAATGCACAGCATTTAGCCTCCTGGGTAGYGGGGTCCTCCAGATCATGGTCTTTCTTCCTGTCTTTAGGCTAGAGGTCATATCTGAGCCCATGTCCCAATGGTTCCTGAGTCTGGGGTACAAAGACTGGTGTAAAATAAGGTCCTACTGTTCTCCCAGTTCTGCTCTTTTTTTAAAAAAAAAAATATTTTTGAGTTGTTGATGGACCTTTATTTTATTTATTTATATGTGGTGCTGAGAATCGAACCCAGTGCCTCATACATCCTAGGCAAGCTCATTACCACTGAGCCACAACCCCAGCCTAGTCTGCTCTTATTTTTAATGAACTTCTCCTTGGAATGTGTATTTGTGTCTGCATCAGGAGGAGCTATGCCCAGACCACACAAAGCCCCCACACACCCTTCCCATGGTAACCACAACTGTCAATTCACCTGTCTCCTCAGAGCAAATGTCCTGCTCCTGCCCCAGAACATTCTAGATTTCCCTCTCACTCTCATTTCCTTGTCAACCTCACCATCACTGGCTTATGTTCTCGACTCCACTGACGCTGCTGCTCAGATATTCTAAGGGCCCCTACATACCAAAACCCTGGTCTTCTTTCCACCTCCTTAACTCATCTTAGCATCTTCTCTTCCACACCTTCTTTCCACACCTGCCTCAGGCATCTTCTCTTCCTTTGTATATTATTATTCTAACCACTGTTGCTTGGTCTCTGAACAGGTGTCCTGGGATTTCTGTGTATAGGAGCTGGTACCCCAGGACTCCTACCTTTGCTCTGGAGAGCAGCACCCTAGTGCACATGCAAAGCCCTCTCCTCTCCCATGGAATTGGAGCAATGGTTCTCAATCCCASCTGCTTAGTAGAATCATTTGGGAGGCCCCTTCAAACACAGCAGTGCTCATGCCTTGCCTTCTCATTCAGTTGGTTTAARGGCAAAGACTGAGCACCAAAGCCCTCCAGGTGATATGCAGGCAGGGAAAAGGTCTTGGGATTACAGGTGGAGAAGGAAATTGTGTTGTGCTAAGATATCAAGATAGTATTTTCAAGTATCCATTGTAGCTACAGATTTGTGGCTTTAGTAAAAAGCATACATTATTAATAAAATAAAAACATCTTTAAGACAGAGCAGGTATTATAAATGAATTGACATCATCTTTGAAAAGAACAGTTCTGTTGGTCTTTTCTATGAACTTTCCTGCTGCTTATAGAATATATAATTCTACAATAAGAAAAGAGAGCCTACTTTCCTGTCATCCCCTGCCTGCTGAATGCAGCCAAAGAAAGCAAGAAAATACAGAATCCAGAAAGCTAGGGCATCCATGTTTCTTTAGAATCTCAAAACACTTTTAAAACTCATACTTGAGCATCAAACCTAGATATACGGCTTCAAGCTGTGGCCATTCAGTTCTAATTGAGCTTATGTAGTTGGTGTACAAACTGCAAATGAATGTTTTTTAGGTTCAGCCAGACTTTAGGTTCTCTGACTCTGTGCAGAGATATCAGGGAAAAAGGACTATGGTTGTGGCCTCACACTGATGATGTCTCAGAGAGAAATGTTCTATCCATGTCTGAAATCCTGGGGCTCATCTTTGTTCTGCCCCAAACCTCTGAGAAATTCTTTAGATCATTCCCAAAAGGAAGTACTGTACAGAGTCAGCAATCCATTTGCAAAGAGTTATGCAATTAAAGTTTCAGCTACTCATAGAAGTGATRGAAAAAAAATCCAATGACTTTGCTGATGTCTTTAATGATCAGGGAAATTGTACTGTTCACTTTCCATCATCYCATTACAGTTTCTTTCAATGTGATGTTAAAGGCATCTATTCTCAAATGTATAGCAGTTGTTAAGAAAGCTAATGTCCAGCTGGGCAAATTCAGACAGAACGTTCTACAAAACTTGTTCTCAGTGGGATGCAGCCAAATTTAGCCCTTCATAGGTCCTTATCTAAGAATACCCAAGGGTTTAAAGTGAACTGCCCAAGGTTCACCATTTGTTAAATCTTTTTCTTTTGAAAATACAATACTTTGGGGGTTAACCTTACATCTTGGAGAGAACAACAATTCATGTCAGAGTCTGGTCTGGGATGCATATAAATTCCTAATGCTTACACTCTTAACCATAAAAATGTGGAAGATGTGGCAAGAGCACAAAGAAAGCAGAATTTCTAAGAAATGAAAGATGTGGATTCTTGGATCTGGAAGAAATTTCAACATTAAGAAATTTCAACATTAAGAAGGCCAGGGGAAAATAAAATTACAGTGATTGCTAGTAGGTAAGGGGTGATCAAGCAAAATGATTGGAAGAATATTGTGTTCACTTAAAATATTATCTACTGACAGGACACAGGCTAAGCCTCCCCAAAGTTGGTCCATCCTGGAGCAGGTAATATTCAGTGAGTGAAAGCTCTGGCAGCAGCTCTTTAATCTACCTGTTGTGGTGAAGGTTGAGCCAGGGGAAGGTGAGGAGAAGCTGTGAGGGAAGAGAGGGGACACTGACAAGAAACTTACCTGTTGTCCTCCATTGGGGTTTAAAGGAGCCCACCCTCGGGGTCCCTAGATCCTGTCTGATTCTGAGATGGCTTCTTGGAACACCAACCACACACTATTTGTGAAATGAATGCAATCAGAGAAGGAAGAAGCATAAGCAGATCATATTACCTGAAAAGGCCTCCCTGTATTTGGTAAGTCTGCAGAGGCAATGTTCAGGACAGAGCCACAACCACCAAATCGTTCATTCTGACAGCCGTAGACGACCAGTGGGATTTATAAGACAGAATTAAGGTTATACAGAGTACAGGAAGTACTGTGGCAAAATGGGGGTGGAAAGGAAGCTCAGGCTGCTCTCTGCAAGACAGTTAAGCTAGGGTCAGTCCTAAACACGACACAATCCAGCTACACAAAAGAAAGAGGTTTAAAGTATTTAGAGAGTGATATTTAACAATTGCTACAGAATGGAAACCGATGGAGCAGTTGCTCAGCTTTTAGTTTAGCGCACTCTCTGCTTTTTCCTAAATCGCTTTTCCAGAAACATGAGAGAATTGGAGCCAGAAAAGAGGCTGAAATTCAATCTGGGGATTTTTACCTTTTAAAAATAACAGATTGCTTCTGCTTCTGTCCCTAAGTAAAATATACCCCGTGCCCCAATACAAACCTCTGTATTATTTTTAAAGTAATAAAATTATTCAAAATACATAGTTTAAAAAGTACATGAAAATACCAGTGTGAAACTAAGTTTCTTTATTTTCATATGATTTTTGAAAAGATCTTTAGGCTGACTACACCCAGTATTTATATTGTTTACTCTAAGCAAGACACAACCCAGAATTATAATGTAAATAATTTACCATTTGCAGATAATTATATAGTATCACAAATGATTTTTAACTTATTTATTTTTTGGCTTAAATTTTCTTATTAAAAAAAAGACAGATAAACGAAGAAAGAAAGAATTTAAACCATTATCCAAGCTTAAACTTTGGTGCATATTCTTCCGAACTTCTCCTATAACTTACTTTAACTTAATTTACTATTTATCCTTAGTTTTCTTTCTTTTTTTAATATTTATTTTTTAGCTTTAGGTGGACACAATATCTTTATTTTATTTTTATGTGGTGCTGAGAATCGAACCCAGTGCCTCACGCATGTCAAGCAAGCGTGCTACCACTTGAGCCATATCCCCAGCCCTCCAGCTTTCTAGCTTATTTGTTCAAGAGTTCTACATGTATTGATACAAAAAGAAATAAGTAATTTTATTTTAAACTTTCCCTTTTTTTGCCAAGACACACAGTGTTTATGATGTGCTTTATAAGTTTGTTTTCTTATGTTAGAAAACAGAGGGCCAGGGTGTGACTCGGTGATAATGTGTGACTAGCATGTGCAGTAAGGCCCTGAGTTGAATCCCCAGGGTCAAAAAAGAAGGAAGAAAACAAGTTTTGTGTTTGGTCACTTTCTGATAAGGACGGGTATAAGACACAGTCCTATGGAGTCAAAGGATACTCATCAGGCGGAGAGCAGCTGCACACATAATGCACGGCTCCACAGTGACATATAGCACAGTGTGTTCAAACACAGTAGAAGGACTCTGGCCACTCTGATGACACCAATCCAGGACCTGATCAATGGCCACCATCTCTGCATGTCGAGTAGCCTTCAAAGAAAGAGATGTTTACACAATATCATTTGCTTCATATAATAGATACTCTRCAAATATACAAAATTTAACTACAAAAATAGATGCCCATCATTTCTGCCATTTTAATGAATGTGTTTCTAGGACATCCTGAGCTGCTGACAGCCTACTCCCCAGTTCACGTATCATAGCCTCACCAACAGAAGACCCCCTCATCTAAGATGCTGAACAAATTCTGCTGTATTTAGTTAACTTCCTAAGTACCTTAGGGGACACTTGCAATTAAAATGCCAGAGAGAATTCTCAAAAAGAAAAAAAAAAGACATCTATGGTTTCTGAATATTTTAGGGGAAGCTTAAAATTTTTATAAGCTTGAGTTCCAGTTTCAAATATATTCTCAAGGCTGTCACTGACCTCACTCTAAGCAAATCTATATTTAGCTTACTGGAATGYCATCATTTACATTTTGGGGAATGAGATTTTATATACGGGCAGGCTGGAGAGAAACAGAGATTTGGTATGAATCTCAGATACCTCAGRGGAGACAGCACACTACAGGAGAAATCACACAGCATGTGGAATTGACTGCATTTAAATTTGAATCCTGACAGTGATGATAGTAATCATGTAGTCTTGGGAAAATTAACTAATTCTTTAAGCCTTGGTTTCCCCATGTGTAAAATGGGGTGCACTGATATCTACCCCTACACACCTCATAATGCATGTAATCGCTGAATTACATGAAACACAGTGTTGCATATATGTTCTTGGCTAGRTTTCTTTCCCTTTTCTTCTCCCCTTATTAAATAGCTTAATGTAGATYATAGATCCTCTATAAAATACTTATTTATAATATCCATTACAATAGCATTTATCAATAATTTACACTGAGTGCTAAATATGTGCAAAACACAGTCCTAAATAAATTCTGCATAGGATAAAAAAACATCACTGCCCTCAATGAGCATAAAATTGGATGAGGCCAATTGAAAGGTGCTATGATCGAAGGCATGGTGTGAGAAGTGCTRGCACTGTGACCCAAGATGCCATGGAAGCCAGAGGCTGATGGGAGCAAAGCTGGTCAAGGGAGAYATGTGGGTAAATCATAGAATCAGAAACTCACACGGACAGTACTTTAGAAAAGAGACTGCCAATCTTGACATCATACTGAAACTCCTGGAAAGGTTAAAAAAATGTCTCCCCATTGTAGGTTCTYTTTAAAACTCAGGTTCAGAATTCCTGAATCATATCTCCCCAGAGCTCCTGATAAATAATTATTGCACTGAGTCATCTCTGTCGACTYCTTCTAGAAATGTAAGTTAAGCTATGTTAGCGTGCATTAAAGGCACAGGGAGAGGAGCTGGTGGTGTTGACGGGGTGGTGGTAGTATCAGAACAAAACTAGAATTTAGGTCTCCTTATTTAGGGTCCAGAGTCTTTCTGTGCATATTAGGGTAAYCTATATAACACGTGATACCAGAATAGACCTTGCTTAATTTTTAGATATAGAAGAAATCCARGTTATGGAATAGATTAGATGGGTCTAGATGGGATTAGATGGATATTGTCAGGTCATTCAAAATTCTCATGCTAAAGATATCATACCAAACTACAGAACACAAATTGAGAGATAACAATGACTGTTTAAAACAGAATTCCATGCCAGGCGCCGTGGTGTACACCTATAATTTTAGCAAATTTGGAGGCTAGAGCAGGAGTTCTAAGCTGGCCTCAGCAGTTTATTGAGGTTTTAAGCAACTTAGACGTTGTCTCAAAATAAAAAGGACTGAAAAAGAGCTGGGAATGTGGCTCAGTGATTAAATGCCCCCAAGTTCAATCCYTAGGTGYCCAAAACAACAATAAAAAACAGAATTCCTAGGCAAGCCTCAATAAATTCATTTTTAACTGCTGTATTATGATTATTACTTATCTCACAGATGTTTTGATATCCTCATAACAATTTCTTTGTGAATTTGGATTCCTACTCTACTTGTTTTGCTAAATCTCAGGTTCTTTTTTTATTTTTGATACATGTGATAGATGAACTTTAAAGGCTTTAGCAGCATTGGGTACCAACACTAGATTGTTCTCCGGCTCCCAAGATCACATGATAAGATCAAAGTTATCCTTGAATCCATGTGGATTTATAATCATAAATTTTAGTATTTCCCTTCCACTTCCACTTCCCAAGTATACCTACTATGACACTGTTGTGACACCATGTCTAAGGAACACAGCCTTAAACCATGCAATTCCCACCCAACCAAGAGAAAACCACAAGCCCTTGGAGCACATGCACTACACATGGCTACAGACAGCTGGTGCTGGAGACCTTATTCTGTTGAATTATCTGACACAAAAATAGGTTCCTTTATATAATTCTTCTATTCCTCCCTCCAAAGTTATAAACTGATTTACTAGGAAGAAAACGCTTAAAGGAAACGAAGAATGCATGAAGAAGTACATTGATCTCCTTTGCAAAGTGTAGTTTTCACATATTAGATTTGCTTAAAATGGAGCTAGACTTGTTTATCCATGCTRACACACTGAGATAACAGAATCCACTCTTGGGTTTCACTCAAGGGTCAACATAAAACTCTATGAAATAGAAAACCAGAAAATCTTATCCCCTACAATTTTATAACTTCATTAGGTTTTTCTAAAATAAAACAAGCCAGGCGCAGTGGCACATGCCTATAATCCCAACGGCTCAGGAGGCTGAGGCAGGAGGATCGCAAGTTCAAAGCCAGCCTCAGCAATAGCTAGGCACTAAGCAACGCAGTGAGACCCTGACTCTAAATAAAATACAAAATAGGGTTGGGAATGTGGCTCAGTGGTGGAGTGCCCCTGAGTTCAATCCCCGGTATGGAAATAAATAAATAAATAAACAAATAAATTAATTAATTAAATTAAACAAAACATTGTATTACTGTTGTAATCTGAAAAAAGCATTTTTAAAAAGAGAGACATATTAAAGAAAACTACCTCAGCACTGGTGCCTACCTTGGGGGCCATGTTCAGTCTCATCTTCTCCTCAATTGTCCTAGGATCCCTCTCCTACTACCATCGCTACTATACATTTGTAATCACACTAATTAACTCACATACATTTTTGGTTTGATTAACTTCATTTCTTCCTTTCCCCACAACTTCATTGTTGTAGACCATAAGGCAGCCAACAGGAACTTCAGTATTTTCGAGGGCTTGTTTGGCCTGAAACACAAAGTAGAAAACCTGAGATGTAACGTTCAATACTTGAGAAGGCTATAGGAGAGAAACGGATACAGGACAAACAAGATGCACATGTACAACCACCAGAACAAAGAAATGCAGCTGAACTTTCTCTCTGCTCAAATCTAGCTCTGTTACAATATTCAGCACCCATGTTCTCTGCTGTGTGTCCTTGTTAAGGAAGACTTGGGAATAAATTCCCTTCATAGTTTCCAAGACTCTAGTTTCTTCTTCTCACTGGAAGCACATGGGACCACAGGACGATTACTAACCACTATCTTAACATGCCAGGGGCAGCCCTTATCAGAAAGAGTATAAATATATTTGCAAAGAAGAAGAAATAACATTTACAAAGCTTTCATCAGAATTATGTTAAAGTTCTACTTAATTTTTTTTTGCTTTTCCAAAAATTATAGAAATGATCCCCTAGAGTCCCAATAGCATAAATGGATGTCAATAGCAGAATGAACGTCATCATGTCCCACAATTTCTACTGTAAAAGCGAGACAATAAAAGTTTAGGAGCATTCCATGTAAAAATGGCATCCAGCCTGCACATTTTTTTTTGGCAATTTCCTGTGCATTTATAATTACTTCAAATGAAAAGTTAAYAAATAAACAAGTAAACATGAAGAATCTTGCAACTCTTGCAACTGAAATTGAGAAAAGTTGCCTACTAAGGGAGGAAGGAAACCAGAAGTGTTCAGTGTAACAGAAAACCCCAGAAAAAAGTCAGCTGTGTCAAACTCAGTGACAAGRAGTGATTTAGATGGAATGGTGGAAATGAAAATCAGTGGTCTAAAGAGTGACTAAATGCCCTTATCTATGCGTTAACTTTAAAAACTTATCTATGGGTTAAATTTCTAGCTTCCAATTGTACTTCCCAGTGAACTTTTCAAGAAGTAATGCGTTTACATCTCAAATATTCAGATGCTGAGAGATTGRAAATATTGCAAGCTTACTTTCATCYAAGACTATCTTGTTCCTTTTATRAGAATAAATCCATTTAGTTTACAAMCCCKCGAGGCAGTTGCAATGATCTTCCCTATGCTGCGGATGAGGAAAGAGAGGCATGGGGTATCACATAACTCACTCATGTAAGAGAGCTGGGGTCACAGCCCAGACAGCTTGGCTGTACCCATTCACTTGCTCAACAAAAACTTTTKGGTACCTAACAGATGATAAGCTCCAAGGCTCTCTGTTACTATGCTGTCTCTAATTTTATTCACATCATTGATAAGCTACTTTTATCAGGACTTTGGGTTTAGAGTGGGTCAAGAGACAAAAGGCGAGGGAAGAGTCAGCGAAAAGAGCAAGACATGGAAAGTTTAAGGATTACAAAACACACCTGCAAGAGAATAATCAAAGGAGGCCATTTGTAAGGTTTTTCTGTAAGTATACCCCCTGAAGAACTCTAGGTATTTCCACATGAATATTTCAAACACACAGAGGAAAATCCAAAACTAAGTGGAATGTGCACAGGTGGGAGGTGAGAGGGACAGGGAGTTCCCATTGCCTACCAGACCTGTCTTGCCCACTGCAAAGAGCAGGGACAATGCTACAGAGGCTGTTGCTGGCCTGATAGCCTCTCTTGGCTCCCAGGCCACCAGCAGACTAGGCTTGTGCCTTCTRTTTCTTCCTCTGGATTTTTTCTTTTTCTTTCAGCAAATGTATCTCRTTAGAAAATAGGAGTGATGAGACTATCTTAAAAGGACAGATACCATCACCAATGAAGAATGGCCTAGTTAGCCATGCTGGGAGTGAAGATGAGCACTCAGAATGGCAAGCCAGGAGGTTCATGGGGAGAATAAGACAAGGCTCTAAGGAAAGGAGTTTGAGGGAACTGTTTCCCAATAACACACACATATATTTTCTTTGCTGACAAGTTCAAAGCAGATTTAAATTAAGCTGAAAATCCATTTTACTCTATCCCCTCTCATACTTTCCAATGCTCCTCCCACCTCTTCTGTCAAGTCTGATCATTTCTTTACAAACACAAAAGAGCTCAAGCAAAATGGATCTGAAATGTGTGCAAGCAGCTCTGAATTTAACATACCTTGCCTTTTTTGGGAAAGCAAAGCTCAGTTCACTATTTCAAATGGCATCCTGGTCTTACATAAACTAACAAATTATCAACTTTCAAAATTGAAGCACAAAAGCTCTCTTCTTTCCAGCCTGAATACAGGTCTCCATCTGAGCATGGCTTAATCCTAGGAGGTGAGCCCTAGATCCAGTGCTCTTGCTCACCTTTGCAGCTCTAGCCCTCAGCACAAGTCCTAACACACAGGGAGCACTTGATCATGCCACATTCATTAAAATGAATCAGTGTTTATTTTGGCTTTCTCTTTTAATTTTCCTCAAGGCCTAACACAATGTTATCCTAAGTGCCCCCAAAATGCATACTATAATAAAACATAATTTATTCTAGAAAATTTGCAATTCTTTCCCCTTTTTGTGTATATATAATAAATCTTTCTCTTTTTTTATAACTACAAGGTAAAATATATAAGAAAACATGGAGGGGGGGCTAGAACAATAAAAAACAAAACCAATTCATAATATCATCACCCCAAAATATAATCACTGTTACTCTGAGGCAACAAGTTTTTTCAGTTTTCTTCCTGTTATCTGCACACTATTTTTGTAGTTTTTTTTTTTTTTAAAGTCAAAAGATTTACACTTTATATACAGTGCAGAAGTCTGCCTTTTTCTTTTAGAAATGCATTGTAAACATTTCCCTTGGTTGGGTAATAATTTTTATCACATGATCTTTTAGAGGTTAAAGGTTTAAAGTATTGCTTTATATGAATATATCAGATTCATTTACTCAATCCTCAATTGTTTGACATTTACATTTCTTCAAATTTTTCATTCATTATAAACAAGTGTAGACCTGCCCTATATAGTATGTTTATTGCTTCCTTGTGAATTATTCCAAGAAATAGCTATAAAACACAAAGAACTCCTACAGTGTGATTTATAATTATATATATATATATATATATATATATATATATATATATATAATAAAACTGGGCAAATATGCCTAAGCAATTCACAGAAGAAAAGAAACTAAACATTCAATTAGTATGCTCAAAGTGGAAGTTAGGGAAACGAAGTTGAGAAAAGGAGAGTAGAGAACATGCAGTTGAGCCCTGAGCAACCCAACCCTGACTAGAAGCACAGGCCAGAACAGAATGGATGGGTAGACTCCAACCAAGCTCCACTAACCAGCCCTGTCAACTTGAGGAAATCACAACTTTCTCAACTCCAGTGTCCCCATCTGAAGCCGAAGACACTAACAATTTCCACCTCAAAAGGCTGGTGTGGGGCTTAAGTGACACAGGCCCAGGTGAAATACTGCATAGCACTGTGGGTGGAACATAAGAGGTCAACACTGTTACTTAATCAGATATTTTTCTAAACCCATATCTCTAGAAYGCTGTGCTCAGCAGGCGATGATGGTTAAAATGATAACCTTTCGCACATGCTCAGCTCTACAAAATAAAACTGTCACGAAAAAATGGTTTTATTAAAAATTAATAAAGTTGATGGCCTTATTTAAAGCTTAGGAACAACAACAACAAAAGTAACAGGGATATGTCTTCTTACTTATCACAGTGCCAAATATTAACGAGGAACGATTCCAGGTCTAGTGGAGAAGGAGTGAACCAGGACGCTTTCTTTTTTGTGTGTATTTTATTTATTTATTCATTTATTTTGCTCTAATTATTTATACATGACATTCGGATGCATTTTGACACATTGTATACAAACAGAGCATAACTTCTAATTCCTTTGGCTGCACATGGTACACCTGTAGTGTAATCATATATATACATAGGGTAATAATGCTTGCCTCATTCTACTGTCCTTCTCATCCCCACAGCCCCACCACTCTCCTAATTCCCCTCTACACAGTTCAAAGTTCCTTCATTCTTCCCTACCACCCCTCCTCCACTGTGGATCACATCTGCTTATCAGAGAAAATATTTGGCCTGGAATACTGTAAATGTAGCTAGTACAACTGAGAAATTGAATTTTATTTTCCTTGAACTAATTTAAACTTAAATAGCTACTGTATTAGGCAATATTATTCTAGAAAACAACACTATAATATCAAGAATACAAGCAATAATAATTGTTGGTGAGGATGTGGGGAAAAGGTACATTCATACAGTGCTAGTGAGATTGCAAATTAGTGCAACCATTCTGGAAAGCAGTTCGGAGATACTTCAGAAAACTTGGAATGGAACACCATTTAACCTAGGATGCACTCCTCAGTTTATACCCAAAGGACTTAAAATCAGCATATTATAGTGATGCAGCCACATCAATGTTTATAGAAGCTCAATTCTCAATAGCTAAACTATGCAACCAACCTAAATGCCCTTCAACAGATGAAACAGGACATTTTCACACACTGGTAATGGAATTGTGACCATTGTTAACAGTGGTGACCAAAACAAACTTTTGTAGCAATGGAAATGTCTTATTCAGTGTTATCCAATGTGGTAGCCAGTAGATACATGTGGTCACTGAATACTGGAAATGTAGCTAGTACAACTGAGAAGTTGAATTTTATTTTCCTTGAACTAATTTAAATTTAAATAGCTACTATATTGGGCAATATTATTTTAGAAAAAAACACTATAATATCTGTATGTTTTAAAAACACATGCACATCTTTTGTCCTACTTTTGATAGTAACTCTATTGCAATAAAAGTTCCATGGGGCAGGGCTGAGAGGATGATGACAAGTCAAAAATAATCTTTTTTTTGTAAAATCACAAAAAAGTTGCTAATAATCAAAAAGAATATATAATTCCATTTATGCAAAAGTATATTTAGCTGTTTCTATGTGGACAGCGATATATGAAAGGATGCTCCCAAAATGTGAAGTGTTACTTCTGATGGTAGGATTTTTAGGTAATTTTTACATAATTTGTTAAACTTATATATATATATATATATGTGTGTGTG